GAGGAGCTTGCGGAGGAGGAGGATGAGGAGGAGGAGGCGGAGGAGGAGGAGGCGGAGAGGAGGCGGAGGTGAAGGCGGAGGGGGAGAAGGAAGTACGTCCGAGGAGGAGGAGGAGGCAGAGGAGGAGGAGGAGGCGGATGATGCTGATGATGATGCTGATGATGATGCTGATGATGAAGATGATGGTGATGACGACGATGATACTGATGACGAAGATGAAGATGATGGTAACGATGATGAGGATGTCGGTGATAATGAGGATGCTGATGCTGATGATGACGATGATGATGGTGATGGTGATGATGATGATGATGACGGTGATAGTGGTGGAGGTGGTCATGATCATGGTGGTGATGTTGATGGAAGTGGTGAGGATCGTGATGACGATGCTGGTGATGCTGGCGACGGTGATGGAACTTATGTTGTTGTTAAATAGGATGAAGACGAAGACGATGATGCTGATGCTGCTGATGATGGTGATGGTGGTGATGATATTGATGCTTTTGGTGATGCTTGTGATGATCATGATGATGATGATGACGGCGATCATGATGATGTTGAATATGATGATGATGATGGTGATGCTGATAGGGATGGTGATGATGCTGGTAATGATCATGATGATGATGACGCTGCTGATGATGATGATATATTGATGCTGGTGATTATGGTGGTTGGTGTGGTGCTGATGATGCGGATGCTGATGAGGATGATGGACGACGATGATGGTGGTTGTTGTGGTGTGGTGATCATGAAGATGATGATGATAATGATGATGATGCTGATGCTGATGCTGATGCTGCTGCTGATGATGATGAACGTGATGGTGTTGATGAGGATGAGTGGCGATCATGATGATGTTGTTTGTTGTGGTGGGCTGATTATGAGCATGATGATGAGGATGATGGTGATGATGATAATATTATCGATGATGGTGGTGATGAGTATGCTGATGATGATGCTGATGCTGATAATGATGAGGACGATGACGACGATGATGGTGATGCTGATGATGATGCTTATGAGGATGATTCTGATTATGATGATGACGCTGATGATGATTATGATGATACTGATGATGATAATGATTATCATGATGATTGTGATGGACGACGATGATGCTGATGGTGTTTGTTGTGGTGCGTTGATGAGGATGATTATGATGGTGGTGATGATGCTGATGCTGCTGCTGCTCATGATGATGATGCTGGTGATTTTGATGATGAATATGCTGCTGCTGCTGATGATGATGATGATGATGATGATTAGGATGATGATGATGATGGTGATGATGATGATGATGATGATGATGATGATGATGATGATGATGATGATGATGATGATGATGATGATGATGATGATGATGATTCTGATGCTGCTGATAATGATCACGATTCATGGAGGCTTCTCGTCGCCGCGGACGGATCCGCTTTTCATGAATGGCCATGAGAGACCACAGGTATGAGTCTGAGTACCGATTTTGAGCCGATGGGTGCTGGGCAAGGTAGCCGCCGCTGTATTAATCGGTCCTCCTCCACGGGGGAGGCAGGAGAAGGAGGCTGGACGCTGGCCGACAGCGCCACGCCGGCTTTCTGCACCGGGGGCGGGACAGCTGGCGCTGCGGCCTTTGCCCTCGCCGAGCTCGAGCCTCGACCACCTCGGGACCCGACGCGAAGGGCCGAAGCTCTCCAGAGCCCGCGGGAGTCGGGCCCCAAAGGCCTCGAGCGAGCACCTCGTGGGGCCCCGCCGCCCTGCAGCCGCCGAGGCCGCCCCGCCTCTTGGGGGGGCCTCCGAGAACTTGCAGACAGCGCGCCACCTGGCTTTCCCGCCCCCCCCCCCCTCTTCCTCGCGGGCGGGAAGCATCTCCACGGCCTCGCGGGCCAGGCCCGCGGGCCGCGACCCTATGGATGATGTTCTATGTGATGTCCATGTGGTGCTGGCACGGGCTGCGCGCGCAGTGCTGCAGACTGGTGTGCTGCCACGCGCACGCGGCCGAGACCTCAGGCGTACGCCCGCACGTGTGTGGACGTACATGGGGACACCGCCGCGGGCGTAGGGCTGCGCTGCGGTCTCGGGCGCGTTGCCCCACTTTTTCGCGGATACCCCGCACAGGACGCATCCATGCGACCGCGCATCCACGGGGACCGCGCATCCTGACAGCGAGGGCGTGGGCATGCACCTGCTCGCATATGCTGGCCGCTCGTGGCCTCCGCCCGCGGGGGTGAGGCCGATGTGGAGCCCGACGTCGCCGATGCATCATCGACGTCGCCGAGGCATCGGCGATGCATCGGAGATGCGGCGGCGCGATCCTCCGACGCCCTCCTGGGCCGAGGCCTCCCGAGGACGCGGGGCCTGGCGCCCTGCGCCGAGGGCGGGCGCTCTCTTTGCTGTCGGCCCCCGCGGGGGGGGCAGGCGGTGGCCCCCTGCGCTCGTCCTGACATGCCGCGCCCTCGGTGTGTCGCCCGCGCAGCCGCAGCAGCAGGAAGAGGGAGGAGGGGGGAAATCAGAGGAGGAGGGGGGAGGAGAGAGGGGGAGGGAGGAGGGGAAGGAGGAGGAGGAAGAGGAGGAGGAGGAGGAGGAGGAGGAGGAGGAGGAGGGAGGGAGGGAGGGAGGGAGGGAGGGAGGGAGCTGGGAACCGGGCTATCCGACGTAGCCCTTACACAGCAGACTAAGTGGCCGTCTGAGTCTGCTCAGCCTTGCTGAGCAAACTGGGCCACTTTCCCACTTCAAGCCGACTGAGAAATGTTCGCCGATGGGAGGCTATGTGATTCGTGCATGATCTCACTAGCTCGCGCCTAGAAGCAGGAACATAGAGACCACAACTCTCACATATCCAAACACTATGCTTACGCTGCAACCTCATCTTGTGACTCTCGTGCACCCCCCCCCACGAGGTGACGCCGCCCCCCCCAGGGGAAACACAAAATTCGCTGGCCCAACGGGCCAGAGGCGTGCTAAGATCTCCGGTAACTGGTTAACATCATTACTAGTTCGCGCGCGCGGAGCGGCCCCTGGGGGCCCCCGGACGACAAGTACCCCGGCAAGGTCCCGGGAGAAGCCACCAAAGCATTCCAAGGGAGGGCCATTTTTCGACACCCCTCACGAGGATCGTGGCCTCCGAGGGGGGAGCCGCAATCGACTACCCCCCCTCCCGCCCCAAGAGGCCCCCAAGAGCCCCCCAAGAGGCCCTGGGGGCCCCCAAGACGCCGCCAAGGAGCCCCAAGAGACTCCCAAGAAGTCCCCAAGAGGCCCCCAAGAGGCCCTAAAGAAAGCTCCAGGGCCGGCGGAATGAGAGAAGCGATTAGATAAATCATTACAACGGAGGGGAGAAAAGGAAGGGGAAAAGTGCCACTCATTTATGGTGGCCATGGTAGTAGTCCCGCAACACCTCGGGCACTTTTCTCAGAATCATCGAGCTGCTGTGACGAATGCAAAGTACCAACAGCAGACTGGGAGGGTGGTCTTTGACTGATCGTACCCGCCTTCCTCCTCCCAGCGCGTCTCTCGGCCTGGATTGAGTTCAGGCTTGAACGGAGCAGCCGATGACGTACTCGCCATGCTCGAAGTTTGACATTCTGCACCTGATGGAGGCTAGGTCCACTGACCTGGGCCCTGCGCGCAGTGGCCCCCAAATGCCTCAGGAATATCTGAGGGTGTCCGAAAGAGGCGGAGGAGTCCAAGACATCCGATTTTTCTGATCCAGCCCCGAATGACGACGACGATTACGATGATTGCGATGATTGCGATGATGATGATGATGATGATGATGATGATGATGATGATGATGATGATGATGATGATGATGATGATGATGATGATGATGATGATGATGATGGTGGTGGTGGTGGTGGTGGTGGTGGTGGTGATGATGATGATGATGATGATGCTGATTTTATTTATGATGATGATGATGATGATGATGATGATGATGATGATGATGATGATGATGATGCTGATGATGATGATGATGATGATGATGATGATGATGATGATGATGATGATGATGATGATGATGATGATGCTGATTACATTTATGATGATGATGATGATGGTGATGCTGCAGTTGCTGCTGCTGGTGAGGATGATGATGGTGGTGGTGATGATGATGGTGGGCAGGAGGATGAACGTGATGAGGATGATGAGTGTCGAGTGCTTCGATCATAGGAGGGTCCTTCTCCTCCCCTCCTCCTCCTCCTCCTCCTCCTCCTCCTCCTCCTCCTCCCGTTCCTCCCCCCCTCCGAACCGAAGGCTTCCGAGCAGCCGACGAAGCGGCAGCGGCCCTGCCTCGCCCTGGCCCTCGCCGCGGCCCCTGGCAAGAGCGGCTCGCCCGTGCGCCAGGACGCCTGCCGCAGCAGGCGGGGAGGGCGCGGGGCAGGAAGCGCACCAGGAAGCAATCGATTGCAAAAATAATTGCAAAACAACCCAACGCGCCCCCCTGGGATTGCAAAAAAAACCCACCCGTGCAAAAATCCAGGATTGCAAATGGGATTTGCAAAAAAAACCCACGTTTTTTTTTGCAATCCTGTTTTTTTTTGCAATCCTTCGTTTTTTTTGCAATCCGACGCCCCCCCTCCAGTGAAACTAACGCCTCCGCCCCCGCACCGGGAAGGAGGGTGCCCCGCGCTGGGAGGCGCGAGGCAGGGAACGCACCAGGAGGAAGCCGGATAAACGCGGGAAGCGATCTAGACGCCCCCCCCCCCCGCCCCCCCTCCGGTGGAACTAGCGCCTCCGCCCCCGCACTGGCGGGAAGGGGTGTTGTCCCTGCTTCCTATTTCTCCAGGGTCTTCTCTCTATGTGTTATTTTTTGTTATCATATGCGCTGCGGGAGCAAGCAGGGCTCTCATCTTCGCAGCAGCGCGCCACTGCGGGAGCCATAGGATTCTCATCTTAAGGCGTCGGCGGCTTGGCCAGCCTGGGCGAGAGCTCGACATACGCGTGGCCGCACGGCTCCAGCGCTCGGCCCTCGTGTGGACGGTACGCATGTACACTCAGCGCGTGGCTTCCGCATCTACCACACCCTTTTCCCAGGGCTGTCTTTGCATCCCGGGCCTTTTTTTTGACGATCCCCGAGCCCAGCAAGGGCCTCAGAGGCCGAACGTGGCCCAAGTCTGGACGTCGTGATCCTTTCACGACGCGCGCATGTCTGGGCATGTGCGTGGCATCCGGGTGTTCAGCGAGCGCCTCCAGCCGTGCGTGCTTCCAACTTCTCGGTAACTAGGCAGATCGGCAGTGCGAAGGCGAGTGAGGCATCCCTCGCAGGAGGCAGGGGGGCTCCCTCGAGGCCCTCCTGCCTCTCCAGGAGGCGCTCTCGAAGCTCTCCGACCCCTGCACACCCAGACGTGCCTGGGTTGCGACAAGAGGTGCGACGGGAGGTTTTTGGCAGTCTTCGGGCTCCGGGGGCCCTCGCCAGGTCGCGGAACTGTCAAACTCGACTCTGGATGCACAGCCGGCCATGGAGGAAGCGTCTGGGTAGGAGCCCTCCTCTGTGCCTGGAAGGCTGCTCCCGGCTCGAGGCCTGCTTGCTGGCGGACCGCGTCGGCCGAGCCGGTTCGCACGAGCCGTTCCGCGGGCCGACCGCTTCCCCGCCGGGCGGGCGGGCGGACCTTGACAGGGCGGGCGGGCGAGCGGGCGGACTCTCGCGGGCGGGAGGGGCATGAAGGCGGGCGGGCTGTCACGCCAAAGCGAGCGTGCAATTTGGGCGGGCTGGTGTCCGTCGGCGAAGCGGGCCGCCGGCGCAGCGGTCCGCCGGCGAAGCGGTTCGGGCGAGGCAGCCCTCGGCGAAGCGGTCCGTCGGCGGAGCGCGAGATCGGCGTCACCCCAACATATTTCTACTAGATGTGCGTCGCCCCCCCGGGGGCGACGCGCGCACCGAGAAATCGTGTGGTATATGCGTCGCGGCGGGCGCTTTCTGACCACACCGCTCGGGAAACGATATACTACAAGATGGGTATATACTAGATGTTCGGGTCGGACGCGCGCCTCCAAGGACATATAGTATTAGCATGTCTCTGTGCGTCCCATGAGACGGTCTGGGAACAAGCGGGCCGTCGGCGACACAGTCGAGGCGAATCGTTTCTCGGCGAGGCGGTTCTGCCCCCGTCCCGCCCCCACGCGCCGCCGAAGGGCGAGGAGGCGCGAGGCAGAAAGCGCATGGGGGTGTGCCGCGAGGGTTTCGCGCGCACAGCCCCTGGGCCCCAAGGGCGGTCTCAATACGTTCGGGGCAACGCAGGGGGGGGGGGATAAGGGGGAATGCAAAGTCCCCGAATCGCCCATTGATCGCCAGTAAGGGTTCGTTAGTCCACCGCCCCCAGCAATGTGCGGATTCGCTATCGGGGCCTGTTGCCGATGCATCGGCGATGTATCGCAGATTCCAGGTCGATGTTCCCTCCCTGAGCTCGTCACCCCCTAACGTTGCCCCTCAACACCCCTCCGCGGATGGCAGCGGAAGGCCCGCAGAAGCCAGCGGCATTCAAGCGAGGGGGGTTTGCCAGCGGACCCTGGCGTACCACCCCGGCGTCGACCCGTAGCACTGGCAGAGGTGCGTGGTCTCGGTGGATGATGCAACCCCGGCCAGTGCTACAGGGGCACAGCACGGTGCCCAGCCCAGGTCTGCTCTGGTGCTGTGGCAGCGCGTGTGACTCGCTCTGGCGCTGAGCCGAGCACCTCGCGTCGCACCGGCAGCTGTGCGTGCTCTGCTTGGATGCTGTGATGTACTTCGGGCACCACCCGCCCAAAGCGCTGACAGAGCGGCACTGTGGGCGAAGGGTGCTCGAAGACCGGGCGCGCGCGTGGAGGGCACGTCGGAGTCCCCACCCCGCCTGCTCGGGGCGCGGAGTGGGCCGTCGCCTGGCCGACTGCGCTTCTGGGGTGAGGCTCCCGGGTGCGGCAGGCCCATGCCGCGCGGAGGCGGCGGCGACGCTGGCGCGGCGGGTCAGAGGTGGAACACCCTCCAGGGGCCCTCCGTTCGGCCCCCCCAGGGCCCTCAGAAGACGGCCCGGTCGTGCGAAGTCCACACGGGAGGCGGGGTCCACAGCTTCTCGGCCCTTGCCCGCTCGGACAGTTGCACAGCCTCCGCCCCTCATTGTTCCCTGGTGCTTCCGCCAGCCAGAATCCGCCCCAACCTGGTCCCCGAACCCCTCCTGGGCACCATCCTGAACCGTTTCCTGAGCCGTGCGCAGCTGTGGCGACGAGTAGGCCCTCCCCCCCGCTTGGATAGAACAAGAAAACAACAAGGATGATGATGATGATGATGATGATGATGATGATGATGATGATGATGATGATGATGATGATGATGATGATGAGGAGGAGGAGGAGGAGGAGGAGGATGATGATGCTGGTGGTGGTGGTGACGGTGATTTCATGATGATGACGATGACGACGATGCTGATAATGCTGATGATGACGATGATGATGATGATGATGACGATGAGGATGATGATAGTGCTGATGATGATGACGATGATGATGATGATGCTGACGATGATGATGGTGATGATAATCATGGTGCTGATGGTGCTGATGGTGATGATGGTAATGATGGTGATGGTGATGATGATGATGATGATGCTGCTGCTGATGATGATGATGAGGGCGACGACGACGATGATGATGATGGTGGGGATGGTGCTGATGGTGATGATGGTGATGGTGGTGATGATGATCATGATGATGCTGATGACGATGCTGCTGCTGCTGATAATGACGATGACGATGACGATGCTGATGCTGATGAGGATGTTGATGCTGCTGATTATTATGATGACGGCGAGGAGGATGAGGAGCATGGTGGTTGTGGTGATGATGCTGATGATGATGCTGATGATGCTGCTGCTGATGATGCTGATGATGATGCTGATGACGAATATGAGGATGCTGATGATGCTGATGATGGAGATCACGATGATGATGATGATGCTGATGATGATGATGCTGATGATGATGTCGACGACGATGATGCTGATGCTGATGCTGATGCTGATGCTGATGATGATGATGATGATGATGATGATGATGATGATGATGATGATGATGAGGCGGATCAACCGTTTCGAAGCACCACTCCTGATATCCAGCGTCGCGAATCAACGTGAACGTTGCGTCCTGACAATCCTAAGCCGTGCCTGAACACCATTCCTGGAACTTCAGCGCCACGAATCAACGTCACTGTTACGTCTGGGCGATCCTACACATTTCCAGAACACCATGACTTGAACTTCGACCATGCGAATCCTTGAAACTGTAATTCTCAGAACGAATGTTCTGTTCGCGTCGCTGGGGCCAGAACCACACTTTGAAAAGGCACCGCCCTTCATCATTGAAACTGTTGCGAACTTCCAAGACGAATGTGCGCAGCGCTCAGGCGTCGACATCATCTTGAAGGCCGCCCGCTCTCCACCCGTGAAGCCGTTGCAAGCTTTTAAGACGACTGCGCGCGGCGCCAAGGCGAGAAGCACATGTTGAAACCACCCGCCCTCCATCCGTTAAACTGTCGCACGCTTCAAGCTGCAAGATCATACATGGCGAGGAAGGCTCGGGCGAAACGCCCAGTCCGCCCTTCCGACACGTCTGGGGGTGCGACAAGGAGGAGCTGCTCATAGGGAAAGGGGTTCGAGATGGAGGAGGGGGAGGCGGAGGAGGAGGAGCAGGAGGAGGAGGAGGAGGCAAAGGAGGAGGAGGAGGCGGAGGAGGCGGAGCAGGAGCAGGAGCAGGAGGAGGAGCAGGAGGAGGAGGAGGAGGAGGAGGAGGAGGAGGAGGAGGAGGAGGAGGAGGCAGAGGAGGAGGAGGAGGAGAAGGAGGAGGAGGGAGGAGGAGAGGAGAGGAGGAGGATGAGGAGAAGGAGGAGCTGGGGGAGGGTGAGGGGGAGGGGGAGGAAGAGATGTTTTTTGGTGCTGTGCTCTGTGGGTGTGCGATCCTCGCCCTAAAAGGCTGCATGCCTAGGCCCGCTGACCAGATAGCCAGGGCACCGCTGCTTCTGGAGAGCGCTCGAGGAGCGGGCGCGTGGGAGGGCGGGAAACCGAGGCTCCCTCCCCTCCGCCCAGGTTGCCGCCAGGGCGCAGGCTGCAACCTGGTTCACCTCCGTCCACGCTGGAGCGCTGCCGTCCCAGCAGGCGCAGCCGCGACGGCCTTCTTCTTGTCGACGGCTCGTGCGGCAGCAGTGCCCAGTAAACACCTTTCTCCAAGGCCTGGAGATTCTGCGTCCTCGCGCAGGGTGCTCGCAGGGCGCGGAGCTGGGAGGTGGCGACCGCGCCACAACTCGCGCAGTTCCAGAGGCGGCACGAATCGCGGAAGGAACAGAGCGTGAGAGGGACGAGACGCGAACCGCGCAAGCTCGATAGGATTCACCTAACGTCGCTTGGCCACGCAGGCTGCGAGCGCACTGGCCCGTGAATGCCGAGCCGCGCCAGGCGAGGGCGCGATGCCGCGGCTGCAGTCCGCACGTGGCCACAGCAGGTGCAGTCCATCCCGCGGACCGACGTGCACGCAGTGGGCGGAGGCCGCCCGTGCGCGGCCGAATCGGACCGACCAGGCCGTCCGAGCCGAGCGGCGGCGTTGCGGCACGTCGGGCGGCGCGCGCTGCGGGCCCCGTTGGGCAGCATCCAGCGTGACGGTGGTCAGCCGCCTCTGCACGAGGGCGGCCCGCGCATCCAGCTCCAATGACGGCCGCACGCCGTGGCCGGGGAGTTGCACCAGCACTGCCGCCTCACCGGTGCGGGCGTCCGCGCGCTCGTTGCCGAGGAAGAGGAGCCAGGCCTCAGCGCCCTCCTCACGGACCGTCTGGCGGTCACGGTGGTTCTCGACCTTCGACACCCGCACCTCGCGTCCAGGCCTGGCGAGCTCAGCATCCACGAGCGTCCACAGGTCCACGTTAGATTGGGCTTGCAGGGCGCGACGAGCCCCGCGGCCAGCACAGCGCTCCTCGCCGCACAGAGCGCCAGAAGCCCTGCTCCACGCACGAGCTGTCGTGACGAGGTGGGCCAGCCGCGCAGCCCGGCCGCCCTCCAGGAGGACGAGGAGGGCGCGCAGTTCGCCGTGGTTGACCGTCTGCCTCGGCCCCGCCAGCGTGCCGGACACCCCAGGGGCGATGCCAACCGCGCGCTCGGGATCCGCCAGCGCGAGGTCGTCGGCGACAGCGTCCAGGTGCAACCACGCGTGTCCCCATCCCACACGGCGGAGTGCGGGGACAGCCGACCACGCGCCTCCAGAGGTGTCGCCGAAGGCGAGCACCATCGCGCAGTCAGGGATCATACGGATGCGGCTGTCGGCTGGCACGGTGTCCTCCATGTCTGGCGCCTCTGGGATGTCGGCCCAGGCCAAGGTGAGCCCGCGGAGCCAGAAGCACGGCTGCTTGTGCACCCCCTTGGTCCGCGTCGTCCTGCAGGTGTGTGGACTTCACACACGCGGCCAACTCCTGGTTGGCAGGGCATTCCAAGCAGCGATGCCAGTCGGTTTCGACCACGTCCATTCCGCAGCGCTGGCACAAGGTGAAGTGCACACCAGGCCAGCAGCCGCGATGCGTCCGCGCGTCCACGAGCCAGCAATTATCGCCGCGCGCATCGCCTCCAGCTTGCCAGGGGGCAAGCCTCGCCGCCCAAGGGCCGCAAGGAAGACCTTGGCCTGCGCCCACGAACGCAACCGTGGGTCCAGACGTGCCGCCAGCCGAGTCGGACCGAACCGCCCTCCTACCTCGTTGTCCTCCTCCCTTCTCCCCTCCATCCTTCATTCTCCCCTCCCTCCTTCTGTCTTCCTCCCTCATCCTGGCCCATCGAGTCTTGCCTCGCGCCCACGCCGCGCTGCTGACATCTTCCCCGTCTTGATCCCGAGAGCCCGGCGCCACGGCGCCGCCGCTGCCGTCCCTGGATGGCTCGCGCCCCTGCACGGCTGCGAGCGTGCGGCCGCCCCCCTCCTGCGCCGCCCTCTGCCCCGAGCCCCCCCCCCGAGGAGCGCGACCGCCGCCCAGCCCCGCCGCCGGGCCCTCCTCCGCAGGTCCTCAAGGCCTCGCCGCCGCCGCCCCTCGGCGGCCCTTCGGCGGCCCTTCGGCGGCCCAGGCAAAGTCGTCGCCGCAGCTGACGTTGCAGCCACCGCCGCCGTCACCGTCTCTGTCGCTGTCGCCGCCGTCGCAGCCGTCGCCATCGCCGTCGCCATCGCCGTCGCCATTGCCGTCGTCGTCGCCGACGCCGACGCCGTCGTCGTTGTCGTCGTCGTCGTCGCCGCTGCCGCCGCCGCCGCCTTCGCTGATGTCGTCCTCGTCCTCTTCCTCCCCTCGCTTTCGTCGTCATCGGACATTTTCCTTGTCGTTGTCGTCTTTCTCCTGGCCTGTCGCTGCCCGCTGCGACAGATTACGCTATTCAAATACACAAGCCACAACATGCCGTAGTTGTGCATCGAGACGTGTAGGCACATACACACATATTCACCTACCTACCTACCTACCTTCCTACCTACCTACCTACCACCTACCTACCTACATTCATACATACATACTCACATACATGTATGCATGCATGCATCCATACATACAGGCACACAGACATACACGCCTACACACCTACATATCTACCTACATACCTACCTACCGACCCATACATACATACATCCATGCATACATGCATACACACATACATACAACACTACTTACACACATACATGTTTGCTGTATGTATGTATGTATGGATGCATGCATGTTTGCATATATACAGGCATACATACGGGTAAGCAGACAAACAGACAGACAGACAGACACACCTACATACATACATACATTCATACATGCATGCATGCATACATACATACATGCACACATATATACATGCTCTCATGCACACAAACATACCTGCATACCTATATATATGTATATATATATATCTACATACATACACACATGCAACGCTTATACGCGCATGCCTCTATATGCACATGTATGTATGCTTGCGTGTGTGCAAGTGTATATGTCCTCACACGTCCGCGTACAGTTGTATGTTTTACGCACACAGCGATGTAGGTATGTATGTATTTATGCATGTATGTATGTATGTATGCATGTATGTATGTATGTATGTATGTATGTATGCATGTACGTACGTATGTACGTATGTACGTATGTATGTATGTATGTATGTATGTATGTATGTATGTATGTATGTATGTATGTATGTATGTAGATGTGTAAATCTGTATACACATGTCAATGTACACATGCCGAGTGTGTTCTTCAGTGTTCTTGCGCGCCTCGCAGCTGGGGCTGGTGACTTCCATGCGGGGTACGGTGGTCCGTTGGCCGTTTTGGCTCAGGCCACTTCTGGCTCAAGAGCCTCGGCGTCCGGAGCCGTTGCCCGTCGCTGCTTGGAGCGTTCCCTCAGAGATCTGGCGTTACGAACACCATCACGAAGAATAGCACGACACTCCGTTTCTCATGTCTGATATATATATATATATATATATATATATATATATATATATATATATATATATATATATATATGGGAGGGCCGCCTGGAGCTCCCTCGTGGCCGCGGCTAGATCCGCCTCGAAGTTTTGTCCAGAAGGCAGTCCAGGAGAAATTCAGAGGTCAGCTTGCGAAGCGCCAGCCCTGGGATGTGGTGGAGGGCTCTTGGGGCCACGAGGTAAAAAAGAGTCATGACGTCGGATGTCCTTGAGTGTGCGCCCGTAGCCGTTCGATGCTCATCGGTGGCCTGACGCATGCGGGGGCTGTGGCTGATTGGGCTAGTCGTGCTGCTCACAGCTGCAGCGTCCGTGGTGTCATTCCTCTCACAGGGCCGCACCCCAGCGGCCGTTCTCTGCCAGGGCGGGGCGGCGAAAGAGCAGGAGCTGCGCGAGGAAAACGAGCGAATCAGGGCCGAGCTGGCCAGGCTGCAGAGGCAGGCTGAGGGCGCCACGCTGGCGGCGGCCGTCCCAGCGGCCGGGGCGCGGGCGGGAAGCAGAGCCGAGGCCGCACTCGGCCTCGTAATCCAGCTGAAGGGCCTGCTGTCTGGTCCAGGGGCGGCGCAGTACCAGTCGGCCCTCGGCCAGCTCGAGGCGCAGGCCCGGGCCGATGTGGCAGCCGCCCAGTCCGAGAGCACCGCCGCAGGCGCGGAGACCCCTGTGTCGGAGGGCGTTGCGCAGGCCAGGGCTGATGCGGCAGCCGCTCAGCGCGAGAGCACCGCCGCAGCAGGCACAGGCGGGCCGACGACGGTGCGAGAGACGGGTGCCGGCCCACCAGAGGGCGCAGGCGTGGAGGCCCCCGTGTCGGAGGGCGTTGCGCTGGACAGCCCGTTCGGCTTGGAGTCAGCAAAAATCCTCCCTCACCTGAAGACAGACCTGCGTGGAGTCTATTTTCTCAAGACGCCAAAGTCAGCGGGGACTTCGTTCAAGAAGGACCTGTGGTGGTCGTATTTCAATTTTGTTAGTCCCGGAACCGTTTGGGTCATCGAGGAGGGGTGCTATGGGTGGCACACAGATGGGAAGGACACCATCCCAACGGACAGCGTCATGACAATGGTGCGCAACCCCCGTGACCATGTGCTTTCGCAGTATTTCCACTGCAAGAGAGAGAAGCACCCAGAGTTGCCTGACACCTTCCAGCAGTGGGTACGGAACTGGACGGTCATGCGCGCCAGCGGGGAGGCACTTGGGCTCATGAAGCCAGATATCAGACGCCATCAGTGGGTAAACCAAGCAAAAGCGGGGGTGCCTTTCAAGTGTTATGTCCCGATTGACATGCAGTGCCGTCACCTCACTTGCAATGTGCTCTTCAATGTCAGCCAGCAGAGCGATGTGGATGGTGCCGTGAGAAACATGGAGTCGGCTTGGTTTGTTGGAATAACCGAAGCGTACCACGAATCTTTTTGTCTTTTCCTTGCAAAGGTCTACGTCAGCCAGCCGCTACCTCATTCCTGCAACTGCAGGAATGTTTCTGCCTGGGGCTCCATGCACATGACGCACGACGCCCACGGTACAGTCAAGCACACTGTCAAGGACTACACGGATGATTTCTTTTTGGAGGTGGATGCGCTCATTGCGGGGGACATTGCGCTATACAAGGCTGCGCGGGCGCGCTTTCTGCGCGAAGTCGAGGAGGTCGAGCGTCTGCGCGGGGTACAAATTTTATGCGACGACACGCGGAAGAGGGTATTCGAGTAGCTCGAGGCGGTCCCTCTGTCTGCCAGAGCATGTGACCGCAGGGTGCCCAGCAGTGAGGCCTCGTGCGCTCCCCGTGCGAGCTCGAGGGTGCCCGTTGCGCGCCCGGGACATGCCCAGAGACTCCTGGCGCCAGAGACTCTTGGCGCCGTCTGTTCGTTTGTTTCGCGGCGTGGGCCCCTGAGAGTGAAAGCGAAAGTCGGGGCCTTCAAGGCTCGCGGCGTGCTCTCAACCTCCATCTCCAGGACGGGCTCTTCCCCGCGGGCGTCTCGCCCGGTGGCCCCGGGCTCCGAAGCGGGCCTCCGAGGAGGCCCCGAGGCCGAGCGAGACTGGCCGCCGTGATCCTCCCACCACGGCCGGAGGCCTGGGCCCCTCTCGGGCCTCGAGACCGGAACCGCGGACCTCTCCCAGGGCGCGCTCTGTCCGGCAGGCCTTGGATTATGTCGGGCATGTCCCCCTACAGGGGGAACGTTCAAAAACAGTAGGAAAAAAAACGCAGTTTTTTTAATACAAGCTCCGCGTGCGGATCATGTCTTCAAGATGCAGGGATTTAGGATTGAAAATCATCCCAGTGCGACCCTGCCTAGGAGTTGGAACATTTAGGAAAGCAACATCTACATCTACACCGACAGCTACATTTACATCTACACCTGCATCTACATCTACATCAACATCAACACCGGGACTCACATCTACATATACATCTACACCTACATCTACACCTACATCTACATATACATCTACATCTACACCTACATCCACATCTACACCTACACCTACATCTACATCTACACTTTCGCGTTGGTTTTGCTGTTGCTTTGCATTGCCTTTGCTTTTGCTCTTGCCTTTGCTTTTGCCTTTGCCTTTGCTTTTGCTTTTGCTGTTGCTGTTGCTTTTGCTTTGCTTTTGTTGTTGCTTTTGCTTGACTTTGTTTTTGCTTTGCCTACGCACAGACACACACAGCACACCTGCGCTATGCTATGCTATGCTATGCTGCGCTATGGTATGCTATACTATGCTATGCTATGCTATGCTGCGCTAAGCAATGCTATGCTATGCTATGCTATGCGATGCTATGCTATTCTGAGCTAAGATATGCTATGCTATGCTATGCTGTGCTATGCTGTGCTATGCTATGCTATGCTATGCTGTGCTAATGCTGCGCTGCGCTATGCTGCGCTGCGCTAAGCTAAGCTAAGCTAAGCTAAGCTAGGCTAGGCTAGGCTAGGCTAGGCAAAGCCAAGCTAAGCTAAGCCAAGCCAAGCTAAGCTAAGCTAAGCTAAGCTAAGATGAGATAAGCTAAGCTAAGCTAAGCTATGTTAAGCTAAGCTAAGCTAAGCTAGGCTAGGCAAAGCAAAGCTAAGCTAAGCTAAGCTAAGCTAGGCTAAGCTAAGCTAAGCTAAGCTTAGCTAAGCTGGGTGAACCCAGGGGACGCAACTGGGGGAACCGCGGGGCGGATGCTGGGGGATCCGCCCGGGGCGAGCCCCACTGCCCGGCCCCTTTAAGCTAATAAAGTAAGAACCCTTCTAGGCAGAACCTAGGTAGGGAACAACGATGGGTTCATGCATAAATTTATTCAGAACTTAATCATGTATTACAAACTGCCGTGTAACCTGGGGACGATTTTCCGTTTGTCTTTGCCTTTTTTCGGCGACTTGTCGGGTATCTTTCATTCTCCGCCCAAAATCCGCCTGTAGGGGGGACATGCCCGACCTCAGCCTCGGGCGAGGATCGAGCCGCTCCAGGGCGTGCCGCGGGGCGCTCTCCGAGCGGCTCTGGATCGGCCGCGGCGCCCGACACACACTGCCCAGACCCGCGGGCTCTCTGAGCCTCCCCCCTCCTCCTCCTCCTCCTCCTCCTCCTCCTCCTCCTCCTCCTCCTCCTCCTCCTCCTCCCCCTCCTCCTCCTCCTCCTCCTCCTCGAGCGAGGGGGCGAACCCCGCCTTCGTTCTGCCCGGGCCGGAAAACTCCGAGGCGAGTCTGGCCGCGGCCGCCGGGGCGCCCCGGCAGGCACGGATGAGGGCGGCCAGGCAGGCCCGAGCTATAGACCGAGTCGCGAAGTCGGGTCGGGTCGGAAGCGGATCGGATCGCCGGCGAATCGTCCCGCATTCGGATCGAAGTCGGCTCGGCCTCGGGTCGGGTCGAAATCACGGCCCAAGATGGGCGGATCGGATCGCATCGAGCCGCCTCGCATCGCATCGATTCGGGTCGGGGCGGGCCCTGACGCCGCGGCGCCAGAGGAGCCGGACCCCGGACGCCCCGAGGCAGGATCGCAGTCCGGACTCGGAGGTGGATAGACCTCCTACCCCGACACGTCGATGGGCGAATTGGCCGTTCTCGGTTCGCGAGAGGGCGTCGCGGCCGTCATTTTTGCGGGTCCAGGTTCGTCGGTTTCGGTCCCAGGCCGTTCTCGCTACAGGGTGGTTTGCTAAAGGGAGGTTCGTCCACCGCCCAGGGACGGTCGGTCGCTTCAGGTCCTGGCCCTCTGCAGGCCAGCGGCGCTCCGTGGGCCCCCCCCCCCCCTGCCAAGGGCGCCCCGCGGCAGAAGAGTTCGGCGGCACGGCCGCGGCCCCGCCGCGGGCCTTCCGGGCTGAGCGCCGCCAGTGGCCCAGAGTCGGCCCACGTGGAACGCTCTGGCGATCGGAAGCCCGCCGAGGGTTCAACCTGATTCTGTTTGTTGTGCCTCTTCTCCTCCTCCTCCTCCTCCTCCTCCTCCTCCTCCTCCTCCTCCTCCTCCTCCTCCTCCTCCCTCCCTCCCTCTCTCCCTCCTCCTCCCTTCTCCTCCCTCCTCCCTCCCCTCCTCTCCTCCTCCTCCTCCTCTTACTCCTCTCCTCCTCCCCATCGCCTCCTCCCTTTCCTCCTCCCCTCCCTCCCTCCTCCTCCCCTTCCTCCTCCCCTCCCTCCGTTCCTCCGTTCCTCCTCCCTTCCTCTCCTCCTCCTCCTCTTCCTCCTCCTCCTCCTCCTCCTCCTCCTCCTCCTCCTCCTCCAAGGTTGAGTGATCCACGCGGTGTCCAGAGCCACCGCCAGGGTCGTCACGGCGCGAGCCTGCTGGTTATAGACCCACTTCCCCCGGGGACGGGCTCCTCGTCCTCAGTCGGTCTGCTGGACGGCCCTGGGCTCCTCTCCAGGGGCCCCCTACAGTCAAAAACCCCAATAAGGACGCGCGACTTTGCTCAGGGTACCCTTGCGTCCTTGCTCTTCCTTGCTCTTGCGTCCTTCAGGTTTTCGCCGTCCGCCGCCCCAAAAATCCCAACTTCGGCTTCCAAGGGTCTTGCGTCCTTACCGCGCGTCCTTATTAGGGTTTTTGACTGTACCCAGAGGCCCATGGACGGCGAACCTGGACGCCAGCAGAATTGTGCGGGCGTTGATTCAGGAGTGCGCCCAGGAGGCTGCAGACCCTGGAGGATTCCTGAACTGATGAGGGCGGCGGTGGTCCGCCAGGCCTCGATTGGAGTGCCACCGGCTTACAGACCCTGGATCCCTTAACATCCAATGGTTCCTTATCCAATGCCCCCACCGTAAACCGTCAGCCTGGATGCCGCTGGGGACCTCGTGGAGCTCTGAGCCACCTGCCCTCTCGCCTGTCTGCCCCGGAGATCAGCAGAGAAGCAGAGCAGGAGGACCCGGACAGTGGATGCCTTTCTGTCTCGACCCGACGTCGGTTCCGCCAAGTGTTTTGATCGTATTTGGGCCCTCGTGGGCCGTCTGGGGGCCCTCTTGGGCCCTTTTGGGCCCCTTTTGGGGCGCCTCTGGGGCCGTCACGCATCCACACACACATCCACACACACACACACACGCGCACACGAACACGCACACACACATACACAAGCACACGCGCACGCACACACGCACGCGCACACGCGCACACGCGCACACGCGCACACGCGCACACGCGCACATGCGCACACGCGCACATGCGCACACGCGCACACGTGCACACGCGCACACGCGCACACGCGCACACGCGCACACGCGCACGCGCGCACACGCGCACACGCGCGCACGCGCACTTACACACATTCACACATATCCACACACAACACAACACAACACAACACAACACAGCACAACACAACACAACACAACACAATATACACACAACACAACACAAAACAACATTATCCCAGTGCGACCCTACCTAGGAGTTGGAGCATCTAGGAAAGCAACATCTACATCTACATCGACAGCTACATTAACATCTACACCTGCATCTACATCTACATCAACATCAACAGCGAGACTCACATCTACATCTACATCTACATCTACACCTACCTCTACACCTACATCTACATCTACATCTACATCTACATCTACATCTACATCTACATCTACATCTACATCTACATCTACATCTACACCTACATCCTCATCTACACCTGCATCTACATCTACATCTACACTTTCGCATTGGTTTTGCTAGGGTATGCTAGGCTGCGCTATGCTGCGCTAGGCTATGCTATGCTATGCTATGCTGCGCTATGCTATGTTATGCTATGCTATGCTATGCTGTGCTATGTTTTGCTATGCTATGTTGCACTATGCTATGCTATGCTATGCTAGGCTATGATATGATATGCTATGCTGCGCTGTGCTATGCTATGCTATGCTATGCTGCGCTATGCTATGCTATGATATACTATGCTATGCTGCGCTATGCTATGCTATGCTGTGCTATGCTATGCTATGCTATGCTAATCTGCGCTATGCTATGCTTTGCTGGGTTATGCTATGATATGCTAAACTCAAGCTAAGCTAAGCTAAGCTACAGCTAAGCGAAGCTAAGATGAAGCTAAGCTAAGCTAAGCTGAGCCAAGCTAAGATGATATACGCATAACTAAGGTAAGAGGGCGCAACTGGGGGAACCGCGGGGCGGGGACCGGGGGAACCGCCCGGGGCGGGACCCATTGCCTGGCCCCTTTAAGCTAAGAGAGTAAGAACCCTCTAGGCAGAGCCTAGGTAGGGAACAACGCACACACAGTCACACACAGTCGCACACAGTCG